TTATGTTCATCCAAATGGGCGACCAAAACAGGCGCACGATAGTGTATGATTAATGGTTGTGGAAACTGAAAACTGAAACTTGGGAAAACTATAAGGAATTAGTTTGTTCCGCATTTTTTCTAAAATTTTCGCGGGTATATTACCCCGTTCGCAGTCTGCAGCACATGACCGGTGCACGCGTGAGAACCAGGCTGGATTCGGACTCACATTTGCACTCTTCGCTAATTTCCGGAACACATGTTTTCTTTGGACCTAGCATTTCCATTTTCCTCCATATGAAAGCGGCATTCGACCCAGACGATCTCTCGATACTCTGGTGCTGCCTCTCCCTGAGGGATGTGCATGAGAAGCTTATTTCAATATTAAGATCCCCTTATAACAATAGCCGTGGACGGAGTCCGAGTATGCAGCACTTTTTCGCCTATATTCGTCGGGGTCATCCTCTCTCCAAGTTCGTTATGGGTTTGATCCGGAAAATAGTCCTGTCCTCGTGTGAGGACAGCGNCCCTGGTGGCAGACTCTCTGATGTGAGTTACACGTAAGACAACACTACTAAATGAGGATACATTAGTGGCAAGCTTCTCTGAATTATTTGTGCTAGTGTAGCCATGCTCGGCGGGCGTCTTGCATTTCCAGTGTAAAGTGTTATTGCAGGACTGAAGTAGTCCTCACCTTAATCAAGGGAAGTAGTAGAGAGTGGCCAAATTGTGTTATCAGCAGTCAAATCTCATCTGACGTACGCACTACGGATGAATTACTGTCACGCATACAAAATGTTCGGTTGATGCTTATATAATCTCTGGCACCGTCGTGACATCCGACTATCTGCGAAGGATTCAGTGTGTGCTGAAGCGGTTTGGACATTTCTCCTTTATAGTGCCGAGACTTGGCCACTGAGGGAACAGGGTTTAGATAGACTATCGTTGTTCGAACACCGCATTGCACTAGTCTGGTGTGGCAAACGGACATGCAACCCTGATATAAGGCGCAGAGTAATTAGTAATTGCGGTCGCGGTAGTTTAGTTGGTGTAGGCGATGTTTGCCGAGGCAAGGTAATGGGTGGCCAAACCAGGACGTGACATCAAAACTCGAAACAGGGAACTCGATCGTGCATAAAAAACTTAGTGATATGACTAGATCTCATTAAAGACGGTTCTCATGCTCCTAAGAAATGTCCTTGCGACCTTAGTCTGCATTAATTACCTATGTTCACCATGACACTGCTTTCAACATTCCAGTTTTCCTTCTAGTCCTCTATTCAAATGGGTGGCCAAAAGACAGAAACTAAAACCTTTCGCACGAAAGTGCAACGTTAATGGCAGCCTAAACCGAAATCGATCCAAACGCTCTCACAGTTATATTACCAATAGTTAACTCCGGAGATAATGTGATGTTTTTACCAGGATGTGTATAAAATGTAACATTTTGCGATGGATAAGGTGACAAACTATACACATGAGCATGAAGATTCCCTCAGTTCTAATCAAATGTTAGGGTGCAAGTATCGTGCAAAAATTTCAGAACCGAAATCTAAGTCCCACGGAATATTGCACTTTTGGTGCCACGGAGAGCCAAATGGACACAAGTGGTTTTATTACCATCCACAAAATCCTCCAACACAGACACTGATTTAGTCACACGAAAAGATTCCAATACCCAGCGGTACAACAATCCGGTTTCCCAAGGAGAAAGGGCTGCCTCGGTACGCGTCTTGCACGATAAAGCCTGATCTCTATATGAGCGAAACAGTGAATCCTGCGAGGTAGGTAGCGCGTTTTTATCTCTACCGCCTGTTTTTTTATCCATCTCAAGTGAAAGCAGTTATTCTCATACCCGTAGCGGTCACCCTAGAACAAAGTAAAAGAAACGGAAAAATTACGATGATGTGTTATTTCAGGCCATAGTCAGACAACAAGAGCGAAACCGGCCGAACGCCCCGACGCACAAATGAAGAAGAAAAACAAGACAACTGAAAAAGTTAGAAATCACATAACAAGGTTAGATACTGTGTCCATGATGTGCTCAGTACAGTGAATAATGGATGGTAAAAATAAGTGGATCAGAATAGAGTTGAGTTCCACAATCACACACGATAGACAGCCTACGGAAAGGAGCCTAAACTGGATACATGAAATAACGATAGCAGATATCTATTCAATGAAAGACTAGCCAAGATGAATAGGCTGGGTTTGAGCTCTGATCATTTGACCTCCTCTTCTCCATGCGCTTCAAGTTCTGTATTCGAACCTAAACGATTGAATATAGGTCGCCATAATTTACTTAACGAATTGGTCCACGTTTCGCCCGTTGGTAGTGCGGATGTAGGATCTGTATTCAATGGAAGCACATCAGTTCCATCATCTACAACTTCCCAATTGTCCGGTTGTGCTGTTTCTGGCTCCGGATCGGACAGAGATATGGTGGGTACTGGAAGCCATTCCGGCGAATGACGTACACCAAATGAGGGGCTGAAATCAGATACTGTGGACAAGATGGTCGCACTTGTTGTCACGGACGAGTCCGCCAGCAATGATCGATCATCGTCTGTGCCATCTTCAATTTCTTTGACTTCTTCACCTTGTTCCACATCATGCTGTAAACGAAGACGCCTCAATGCGGCCAAACACACCGGTTCCTCATAGCTTGGTGGTGGTAGTGTCCCAAAGAGACCGTTCAGCTTCAACTGGTAGGGTCCGGAGAATTCCCTGGAAAGATGCAAATAAATTAATCAAACAGGCACAGAGCATCCATAATCACCGAAAAACTGGGCAAACTAAGGTAATCAGTTACCCACGCAAATTATGGCACATTAGACAGACAAGTGCCTACGAAAGTATCAGTATGGTCGGGTGTCTTAGGTTGCGTCTCGCCAAAGCTGTTATACGACTGAATGTCTCAAACGCCCTCTGTTAAGGAAAAGCTACGTGATGGATTCTCTTTCTAGCGGATAAAAAAAACAATATTCGGAGTAATAATCGAGTCAGTAAACCACTGGTGGTACACCTAAGGGAGTTGGCTAAAAACCCTGATTCCACTGGATCCTCGGAGATTGGGATCGCTTTTATTCCTTCAGGATTACTGACCCGTGAGAGACCCAAAGTCTTCGTCCCACAAGCAAAGTTTGCTGCTGAGTGCGTTGCACATCTAATTTGGCTCCTCTCTTGATCTCCGCCATGTAACAATGCTCCCAGCACTTGCCTAAGCTCCTCTCCACAACGGGCGCGAACAGTTGGATGTCGCAGACGATGATGAGCTAACTGTAGGGGGTGACTTTTGCCAACCACTGAGCCGAACCGTAAACCGCATCTGAACTGGTGTATGATCAGACTCAACGTAGATGGTCCAACAGGATCAGTAATTTTTTACCGAACCACGCCAAAGGTAGCTATGTGGTCAATTTGGGTCAGCTTTGCCGTTGAACTAGAAAATCATATTGCCGTCCGATGAGAGCTGAAGTTGGTACCAAATAAGAGCAACCGATGATATGCGCAGAACCTAATTAGTTGATCGCCGTTTTCGGTTTCGCTGGGTGAGAAGATCGAAACCCGTTCCATAAACAGGCTTTGAATGAGCTGTGTTTAATCACCCACCAGCGCTATAAAATCAAAGTAGGGGCTCAGTTAGTCTGCCGTACAATTCGTCCTTTTGTGTGTTAGGATTGCAGTTGGTTAGCGCATATGTAGGAATTATTGACAATGTTTTTCCGTTTTTACAACCATTATCCATGCAACTTCATGCTGCTATTTCGATTAGTGTATTTTGGCTGCCCATTGGGATAAAGCGGTAGAATAAAGATTGGAAAGTTGAAACCGGTACCAAAGAGATGAACAAACAGCTTTTAGTATTGCTTCCATTTCGAACGCTAACTAACCACAGCCTCCTTGTGCACAAATGACTATTGACGGGTCTCCAAACTATCAACGGTGCGTCGACTTTGTCATTTAGTAGGAAGTGAACAAACTTTTGCGTCGCCTGGTGCACTAAGAAAATATCTCGACGACAGACCCGGCGCACTCAGGTGGCTCATATTAATAAGATCTGTGACAGGCAGTAGATATATATTTCCAATGACAAACTTGTTGACCGACTTGTATTAGAGTTCTCAATTTGACGGCCCCCCTAGATTTAATGGTTGACAAAACTTCGAATTCTGCAATTTATTTGGCGGTAAGCTAATTACAATACTACTTGCAACAAGCTTTGGCAATTACAAACAGGTTGTCTGATCGGACTTAGTAGACCAGAGGGGAGGGGGGCGGTGAGAGAGGGTTGGGCATGGAAGATGAGGCGTTAAACAAAGGTTAAGATGTCTGGGCAGTATCTCATTTACTACTCCGCTATTACCCCGCTCGATGCAATGGGCAGCTCTGCCCTGATTATCCTGCTAGACGACCGATGCAATAAGGAATTCATTTTAGTTTGTGTTTATCGTATCTTTATGGACGGGTACTGCCAGGGAGTCCAACCACTAAGCAGAAGAACGATCAAGGTTTTCAACCAAGGTCTTGGTTGTCACAGGAATCTGACCGCAAAGAGAATCGAAGCCTTATCTAATTCCATCAATTGGTCCAGAAGCATTTTTTAGCGATTGAAACACCAACTCGAGTGGAATCCCCAAACAAGAGGATCAGAAGACTGAAATTTGTCTGATCTCTACCCTTCAATTTTCCAAGCATGTAGTTTGTTGGGTCACGGAGGTGCAAAGTTACACGAGTCCAGCGAGCTCTTAATTCCGTGGTGGTGATCAAGCGATGTCCATCGCCATCACAGGTCATATGATTGTCTGACTTTGTTATTTCATTGTGCATTATGATAGCTCTTGGAATGATCGCTTTTCCCTCCCTGAAAATTGCATGTGCCTGTATCTATTCAATAAAATAAAGGTGTTATTAAATTTTGATCTTTCTTCTTCAAAGGGGAATAATATTCCTTGGACATTGCCTTCTCACACCGTTTTGCCACTAAGGTACATCAGGTCTAATATACTGTTCTTTTACTGATAAATAGAGAAAGACCTGGTGTGCGGGTGCTCATCTTCGTCCATTCAGTAACGGGAACACCAACATTTAACAAAGCTCTAACAAGTGTTCAGCTTGCAACCAGTTAGATATAAAATAGCACATCAGCGGGAACTTCTCATTCAGGCAACCACAGACAGCATCCGCGGCTGTTTCCATTCACTCACTGCAGCGGTTCGGCCCGTCCGAGACAATACAACCCGAGTAGGGGATTGTATTCCGAGTGGGTCTCGGGTAAATCATAACCAAAGCGTTTCATNGCGTTTCATGGTGAGCCGGACATCGATCAGGCGACAGGCACAGAGTAAATGGATCGCGTGTAGCACAGGTGAATACATGTACCCCAATGTATCCCGTTGCGGTAATGACGCGAGAAATGGACCGGCCAACAGTAATCGTTCGACTAGCACCTGGGGTAGCCATACACCAAGGAACTTGGCTGCGGCACGGACTACTGGGACACAGTAAGTCAAAGCTGTCTGACTGGAGCGGACTGGTTCTGGACCTGTAGTGCAGAATGACAAAAAAGCAAAACAAGTGCCGAGGAAGACATTGTCAGTTGATCCAGAACTAGTATGGCTAGGAGTAAACGTCAAAAACAGGATCACTGTGAGTATCTAACGTTTTTAAGGGAAATTCATCGAGCTAGACCATCCAAGAATCAATCGAATATGTACTTTTTCCCTTCTCCCCACCGTTTGACTCCTATCTTGAATTGTGATAAATGCAGTTACCATTTAGACGATTCGGAAGTTGAAAAAGGATGAAAAACGCTCCGGCGGAAAAGGAAGGAAATCTTTCTGAATGCACGCCATAGATGTTCGAAAATATAAGGAAACCAAGATACGAAAGACAAAAATCGGAGGCGAATTGGAACGGAGTGGATTAAAAATGAAGTGCAGATTGAGAGCGTAGGAAAAGTATACGATTAGGGTTTCTTGGCATTGAAAACAATTTGATATTATTGGTTAAGCAGCACTGAGGTCTCGGTGGATACCATTAGGAGTTTGCGATCAACGATCCTGGATGAACAGAGGAAACGATAGTATGGAACCATTTTGGACTCCGGAATTAATTTTAATCGCCCTCGAAATGACTCCAACAACACCGACCGAGACTAAACAGTCCCAAAAGAAGCTTCGTGTACAATTGAAGAAACAACAGTCTAAATCTGGGAGACATTGTTTACCAGGAGCCTTTCATATTACACCAGGTCGAACGACGTATAGTTTTCGCAAATGGATCTGCAGCGACAAAAGCCATATTTGGCAGCCGTCGCAACGTTCCAAGCGACAGCGAATTTGGT